AGTGCTGGCAGGTTGGAGGCCATTGCTATTAGGTTGGAGGTCATTGCGAGTGCTGGCAGGTTGGAGGCCATTGCTATTAGGTTGGAGGTCGTTGCTAGTGCTGGCAGGTTGAAGGCCATTGCTACTAGGCTGCAGAGGCAATTGCTATCAGGTTGGAGGCCATCGCTATGAGGTTGGAGGCCATTGCTAGTGCTGGCAGGTTGGAGGCCATTGCTATTAGATTGGAGGCAATTGCTATTAGGTTGGAGGCCTATTGGAGTCATCACGCCGAGCAGGCCTGGAAACAGCAATGCAGTCATCATGTCGCGAGTGGTTCGAAATAGCGAGTCCCTTACTGCGCTGACTTCCTGAGGTGTCACTAGAAGGCATGCTTTCTGACCAAACAGCACAGGCAATGACGTGAGAGCCTCGGCAACTTGCTGAATGCCCCAAGTCTTCTTACAGCCGTTTTTCCAGCCGTGGAATGTGTAAAGTTGGGAACCAACAAAACGACCAACCCACATAGATCCTAGAAAAGCTTGAAAGAATGACTACTCAGCAACTAAGAGACCCGTCCGTTGTCTGCTGACTCGTGACAAACCAATGGCTCTGCCATGCGGTCGACTCTGTTCACCAAAACTCCCCCACTCAAAAGGATCTTCAACAGTGCAAGACATGCGATCGCAGCAGGCAGCTTCACTTGCGTTCTCTGGAGCTCAGGCCAGGCATCCAACACCTCCAAAAGAGCACGATGCGAAGCTGTCAGAGCTGTCAGCTTCTGGCCACAGGCTCCAGAAACACTTGCTTCATCTTCTTTCAGATCTTCATGCACATAGTGAAAGCAAGCATCATCTAGATCTACTGCCTGCATCTTCATGCTAACTTGCAAAGGCAAGGAGGCACTGCTCACATCGATGCAGCATATCTCCTGAGTATCCTGGCAAATTTCCTGTAGCCATGCCCAAACAGCATCCTTAGAGCTTGCCAATATGCATTGGACATTGAAGACTTGCAACTGGTCAGCAAAGCCATGACCTTCATCAAGGACGCAAAAGGCACGCCCCTCCATGAGCACTGCTAGCATGGCAGCCATTCGCTCCGTCATCATGTCCAAGCAAATGGCCACTGGCCCTCTGCAACCTGTGGTGGTGCTGTCCCTGCGCAGCTGTCGCTGAAAAGCTGTGGCCAAGCGAAAGAGTTGCATATAGCTGAGACAGGAGCATGGCAATTCGCAGCAAATGTTGTGTGGATTGGCCTGCATACTTTTCCAAATGGTACCGACTAAGTTCTTGCCTCCATGCTCACTATCCAAGTTCTCCTCCTCGGAGTCGGACTCCGGGTCGGACAAGAATAAGGCCAGTGCGCTGACTGTGGGATGCTCGAACAGCGCACGCAAGTCCGCTTTTTGCCGGTGCTTGGTGCCTCGTATCTGTCCCAAGAGTTGGCCCATGCCGGCAGAGTCGATTCCGAGGTCATCCACAAAATGAGAGTTTCGGTCCCAAGACTCCAGGGGACCCACGACGCGCGCGACGCACGCTGCAATCTCCAGTTCAAGAGCACTTGCGCCCACGCGGTCAAAAGCATCCCCAGCGGTCTTCTCCAAGTCACCCCATGGAACCACATTGCGCACGAGCTTGCCACCGCTACTGAACTTCCAAGCAGTGTCATCCACTACCTTCACTTGGCTAAGGACATAGCCACGGCCCAAGGACATGGCCTTGGCTTTCAGCTCCTCACTGCACAAGGAGCCAGAAGCCAAGGAAGCCAAGAGCACGAGGCGGCCTTCCAACACCCGCGCTTCACAATGCTTCACGGTGCCCAGGTCCATGATGGCGGACTCCAAGGCCTCCAATTCGATCCGAAGGCCACGCACTTTCACCTGAATTTCAGGGACGCCACGTGGCAAAGAAGGTTTGTTAGGATTCCAACTTGTGAAGCTGACTTAGTCTACTACCCAAATGTACCGAGGTTTAAAAGAACGTATATATCTTGAGGCAGGTTCTGAACCATGAAAAACACCCGTTGTCACACCTGGGAATCCACGCGGCCACGATAATGTAGGCGGTTCTCTTGGTCTTTGAAGGCGAGATCTCCAGTGTTGAAAAGCCGGCCAAGTCCAGGAAGTTCAATGAACTTCTCATTGGTCTTCCCTTCTTCACCGAGATAGCCACGAGCCAAGCCCACACCACCCACGAAAAGGATGCCAACCTCCCCAAGCTCCTTCATGGCAAGGGTGTTGGGGTCTAAAATGTGACACTCATAGCCGGGCAAAGCAGGGCCAAGAGTAATCGGGTCACCCACCTGCACGTCAATGCCTGTGCACACCACCGAAATCTCTGT